TCTTATTTTGAAGTAAAAAAACAAATGGGGCAAAGACACCCGGTGGGCCGGATAAATGTCTTCGGGGGCTGCATGTGGCCAGCGGGCCGTAGTTTGAGGACGCCTGCTCTAGGTTGCTCGTAGATGCCATTTATCAGAAAGAGAAAACTGCCTTTGAGTCACGCTTTGCTAACATTTAAAAAAAATGGTAAATTTTCTTAAACTTAAGATATTTTAAAACTTTTTGCCTCATAGCAGTTTTGTGTCAGTACACAAGGTTTGATGTATTTTTATCATTCAGTTAAAAATATTTTCTAGATGGGTCATGGCTAGACATCAATGATTAATGCAACTGATATTACTAAATAGCACAGCTGAATTCACAATGTTTTGTTACACAGTTTTTACCATTTTGGGAAAAAAAGGTCAAAATTAACCTAATCTGCTCATAAATTTTTTTCCCCATGTGATTTCTTCTTTTACTCACAGGTTCTTGACAGCTGTGTTGTCTAATGTCAAATATGTGGGTGGACTGCACTGAATTATTTGATAGGGCCTTGTTGACCACAGTCTTAAAAAGACTGGGTAAGACTATGCAAACGTGAAGTGCTTGTAGCCCACTTAGGGGATTGGATAGCTTAGTAATGAGGTACATAAGTTGCACAGAGCCCTAATATGAGGACTGGCCAGTTTTGCCATTCCACAAGGTTTAAAGCAAGCCACAGAAAGAAAGAGAGGAATTTCACTGGCAACAAGAAGAGCCAGGAGTGTAGTGTGCCCTCTGGACCTGAGAGACAAGGGTGCGACATCAGAGATGGCGAGAAATGGTGAGAAGCAGTGGCAGAGAAGCGGCAGGAGCAGAGCCAGGAGATTAGCAAGTCCAGAGCAGTGGGTTTCAGGCAAGAGGCTTGCTGGTAGAGTGGTGTGCCTCTGAGCACTTTATGGGGAGTAAAGTTTGCTGAGCCCTGAGCTAGAGCTGAGCTTCTCGCAGCTGAGACTTACTGGTTGAGTGGGGTACCACTAGGAACATAATTGGCAGAACTACAAAAGCTTTGTGCCACTTGCCAAGGGACTGTGTGGCTGAGGGCTAGAGGAGTGCCTGTAGGCATGGCTGGAAGAGGCTGTGTGGACCTAAGAATTGTATCTTGAGCATTCCTGATCCTGAGTGACAACCTTCCTTAATAAACCTCATAATTGTGAATATGGCCAGTACAATGATCTAATCCAGTAGAGAAGTAGAATGCAGCAAAGGGATGATTAGTGTTAGAACTGGTAAAAGGGTTGGAGGGTAGAGGCATTCTGACCTTGGCCTCACAGGAATCACATCAGCCTGGGTTGATGCTGATGGTAATTCTTCCTTCTTCTGGCTAGATAGAAGCTAGATAGAGCTTATGATCTTGCCACTATTTTTACAAGGGTGGGGCTCTAGAAAGTTATTATTGATTTCTACTTTACACGGTCTGATGTTGCCAATCTTTTTTAATTACTGAAACTTTTTTATAGCCCCAAATATAGTATATGATTTAAATAGTACACAATATTATTCTATGGCTGTTAAGTATACTAAAAATGCCTACATTCCTACTTTTGTTCTAATTGTGCCATCAATTATTCAGAGATGTCAAAATCTCCAATCATGACTATGAATTTATGTATTTTTCGTTTAAAACCTAAACAAAAAATGCTTTTGCTTAATAAATTTTGAAACTCTGCTATTAGGTCCATGCACATTTAGGACTGTCTTCCTGATGAATTTGCCCTGATGGCATAGTGGTTACATGTTGGGCTTCGATACGATGCGTATGTCTGACAGTTCGAAACCAGCAGCAGCTCCTAGGGAGACAGACTAGGCTTTCTGCTTCCATAAATAGTTAGTCTCAGAAATCTACAAGGAGTCCCTATGAGTTAGCACTGACTCCATGGCAGTGAGTCCTGCTGAATTGACCCTTTTACAAGATGCTCTTCAGTACTGGTGATACTGTCCTACAGTTCACTTTTCATGCTATTAAGCCACACTGGCTTTCTGATTTATTGCTTCTTGTTGGGTAAATCTTTTTTCATCCTTCCACTAGCAATCTCTGTGTCTTAATCTTTAAAGGACATCTCTCGTATTTAATTTGGAGTTGGGTTTTGCCTTTTTATCCAGCCTGATAAGCATTACCTTTTAACCGGCATCTTTAACCCACTTTAACATATTTAATTTTAATACAATTATATATTTACTTATTGCTATGATGGAGCTTGTGTTTAAGATGTAACTGTTTGTCCCATGTTTTTTGTTCCTTTGTTACTACTTTTTGACATACCTTACTCAGTAGTTGATCCAACAGTCAGACCAACAGCAGGACTACAGACAATTTAGAAATACTTACTCAACATCTTGAGGGTTAATCCAATCATTTTTAGAATTTCTTTTTAATTCCTCAATGGAAGACCAGTCCCTGGAGAAGGACATCACGTTTGGTAGAGTAGGTAGGCAGCAAAAGAGAGGAAGGTCCTTCAAGAGATGGACTGACACAGTGGCTGCAGCAACAAGCTCAACTACAATGTGGATGGTACGGGACCTGGCAGTGTCTGTTCTGTTGTGCCTGGGGTCAGTATGGGTCAGAAGCAACTCCACGACACTTAACAACATGGTGCCGTAGTGACACTAAGGCAGGGGTCCTCAAACTTTTTAAACAGGGGGCCAGTTCACTGACCCTCAGACCCATTGGAGGGCCGGACTATAGTTTGAGCAAATTCCTATGCACACTGCACGTCTTATTTTGAAGTGAAAAACAAACGGAGCAAAAACACCTGGCAGGCCTGATAAATGTCCTCGGCAGGCCGCATGTGGCCCGTGCGCTGTAGTTTGAGGACGTCTGCACTAAGGGATGAGATTGGGCTAATAACCACAAGACCAGTGGTTCAAACCCATCAGCTGCCCTGCAGGAGAAAGATGAGGCTGCCTATATTTATAAAGGTTTACAGCCTTAGAAACGTTTTATAAAATTGTTATGAATAGGAATCGACTTGATGGCCTTGGGTTTGGGTTGATGTAATTTTAGCTCTACTTGCTTGTGCTCTTTTAAAAGTCATTGTTCTACTGATTATAATATGTATCTTAGTTATCAAACTCTATTTTCATTGTATCACTTAACATAAGCAGGAGGAATTTTGCATTAGTATTATTCCATTTATGCCCTACTCCTTGTGCTATTTCTGCCATAGGTTTTACAAATGTTACCTGGGTTGGGGTCGGAGACAGCTTAATTAGTCTTTGTGACAGACTAGGGCTGTGGAACCTTGCAGCTGTTGGTGATGGAGCACCAGAGTCCACAGAGATATGAAAAAGCAGACACAAGGAGAAACACAGAGACACAATAAGGATAATTCCATTTCTGTTCCAGTTACTCCCTGGAATTTGGCTTCCTTCCTTCCTTTGGCTTGAGCCTACCTAAGTTGATTTCTAATAGCTGTAACAGAAAAAATGAAAAACCAAAAAACACTGACCACAGCTCTCTTTCCTTAAATGGCTATGTAAAAGCTCTGAGAAGAAATTGTTAATTTAGAATCAGAAGATCAAAATAGTATTCCACAGCTAAGAACATCTCTAGGGATTATAACCATCTCTCCTTTTTTCAACAGATGAGAAAACCAACCTTAGAAAAATGAAATGATCACTTTAAAGGTCATTTAGCTACAACGGTAGCAGAGTTGTGACCTGTTTTCCCAACTGTTCATTGTGATTTCTTACATGACCAGAATTAATCTATAACGTGAGCAATAATGTACCATGAGTGACATTTTGGAAGGCGGGATAAACATTGGAACAAATCAGAATGCAATTACTTAGCTATCTTTCACAATAATCACACCCTCTCATACCAGATGTTTCCAATTTTACAAAGATTCCATTTCAGAGGTTAGCAGGTTGGAACATGGAATACATTTTCCAACAAAGCAGTGTCATGGTCCCAGGTGGTTATGGTCCCAAGTTGGCTCCTATGAAACTTATTTAACCAACAACATAACTATGAGGAACTTCTGGGGGAAAACATACTTTGGGATGTGTATCAAAAGTAAAAGGTGTCAGAAAGCAGCTGGGTAATTTTAACTAAGTCACTAATTTCCCTGAATTCAGCTACTTGAAAACAAACCAAAACAAAACACATATGAGTATTAACATATAACTCTGAGAACTGGGTTATGCATTTTAATATTTACCTTCTTTTCACTTATCAACTAACTCATTATCTGACAATGCATGTATGAGAACAGTTCTGCTGCCTGACATTTTTTGCATTAATGACAAATGTCTGGTGGTAATGAAATGACTAGGTGCGAGGCTAGAGTAACAATGGTTGTGATGGTTAGTTAAGGTTAATGTCAACTTGGCTAGGCCATGATTCTCAGTGGTTTGGCAGTTAAGTAATGATGTAATTTGGCAGTTAGGACATGCTGTGCTCATCCTCCATTTTGTGTTTAACCTCATTTTTGCATAATGATCCAGTTTTTGGAACGTAACCAGATTGGTAAGTGAGGAGAGCGTGTACTGCATTTAAACCTCAATACAACTCAAATATGTATTATTAAAACTTTAAATGGACAAATGGAGACTTAGAGGGTGCAGTATAGGCTTGCTGCTTTCAAAGCGCCTGAATTTAACCATTACTACAACCGTCCTTACCTGCATTATGTGGGTGTGCATCAAAGTCTTGTGATTATACAAATCATTTTATGGGCGTGTGAATATATGCCACATTTTATTAAAGAAAAAAGTTCTAAAGCTTTTATAAGATACTTAGAAAGTACCTATATGAACCAAAAGAGGTTAGGAACCACTTTACTTGATGAAATTTGGGCTTGTCCGGTAAGAATAGTATTATCTACCATCTGTGGATTACTAGATCAATATCTCTTCTCTGTTATCAATCTATGAGAATCAATTATCAATAGCACTCTCAACTTTATTAATTAACCAATCAATTCAAGAAGAAAATGAAGAATCATGCTTACTCAAAGAGGAATCAATCACTTACCTAGAAACAGAACAATCAACAGGACTATAATAGTAAGGAAAGCCTTGTTCAAAAAAGTTGCAATTTTACCCCAGACGTGAAATGAAAATATCTTCTGCCATCTGTAACACAATACAATTACAATAGGTATAAAGACACAAATGGATTTTATGTAATTGATTCTAAATACTGGATTAACATTTCAGTAATTGTGCAGTGAGTGAAGAGAATTACATACGTTTAACTTCCAAATAAGAACTATTCATGAAATAAAGAACAAGTCTTTCAGATGTAAGAACTGACAATTGTTTATCTTCTGTCTGGTGGCTGAAATGGTCTAAGGTAAAAGTCATTTTAAATCAACATGCTACTCAGGCACAGTGGCTGCTAACCAAAAGGTTGCCAGTTGAAGCCTACCAGGAGTAAGATGAAGCTTTCTGCTGCCGTCAGGATGGCAGTCTCAGAAACCAAAGGGGCAGTTCTACTCTGCCCTTTGTGGCCATGAGTCAGAACTGACTTGATGGCAATGGGCGGGTTATATGTTCATATGGTACAATTCTAACATCTACTGGAAATATAGAACTTTCTGTACTTTTACCACACAGGAATTTTAAAAATTCACTGAAGTACTATACATACGTAGTAAAGCACTAAAATAAGGCACCACACAGCTGGAAAGCCTAAAGGGAATTTTAAAAGAACACACTACCCAGTCCAAAGACATATAAAGGCGGTGGACACCTACGTACTCTTACAAGCCCTGAAAAAAACCTAATGATTATGACAAATTCGGAACTAATGTTTTAAAAGCAATTCAAAGCGACAACTTGGATTTGGTGGAGAGGGATACTGAGACAGATGAAGCAGTTCATTTTGCCTCTCTGCTTCCAAACCTGAGCTTTTTATACAGAAAGCTGCTACAATTTTACATTACATAAGGTTAATCTGTAAAGACGGAATATAATGGTTTGGTCTAGGTGCAAATTCACTTATTTTTTTTGAGGACAAATATAAAAGGGATTCCCCTTACAGCAGTGGTTCTCAACCGTCCTAATGTGGCGACCTGTTAATAGTTTCTCGTGTTGTGGTGACCACCAACCATAAAATTATTTTCATTGCTACTTCATAACTGTAATTTTGCTATTGTTATGAATTGGGTGGCCCCCAGTGAAAGGGTCGTTTGACCCCCCAAAGGAGTCGCGACTCACAGGGTGAGAACCACTGCCCTAGAGAAAATCACCAAGTTTACATTAGGACTCAATTCAGTAGAGGGTTAATTACACCTAATACTTATTGAGTCTGTAGTATGAGATTGTTCTGAATTCCCTGACATGATGTAGTGCACTTGAGATCAGTTAGTAGTCTGCTGGGTTGAGAGAGAAACCCTGCAATGTGACACGGGAGCATGTGCCTTTGACCACTGGGTTACACGAGAAAAGAATACACACAAGTCAGATGAAGACTAAGATCTACTTTTTCTTTTTACAGTAAATAATGAAACACACATTACAAACAAACAAAAACAAAACCATATGGGCACACAAGGATATACTGTAAATATGAATGTGCACTCATATAAATTTTCTTTATTTTGTATGCAAGAACCTATTTATACACATCTATCAAATAGTCAATTGACCAGGATAGGTAACTTTCTATTTCACAAAACGAAAAGGTCTGAACCATAAATTTTGGATTGATATAATTGATAAATGACCAACCAACCTAAAATATTTTTTTGCAAACACTTAGGCCTTATTTATAAATCACAGCTTTGATTATAGTTTTACTGTTGTACATCTGAACAATGCCAAGCTGCAGGTTTATAAGTGCTTGAAACAAAATCAGCAAAGAGACAGGAGTCCTGCCTGGATTCTTGTCTTGAATCTGCTACTGACCAGCTGGGAGACCTATTTAGGGCATGTCCCTTCTCTGGGTCTAATGTGATGAGTGTTGGATTAAATAATCTCTAAGGGTCCACCTTATACCATGATTCAGATTCTTTTTTTAGAAGATTAGGGTGAAAAAAAGAGAAAGGAATGGAGTATTTTATAGATAAAGACAGAAAATGAGTAGAAATTCATGTTAGCATCAGAAGCTGGGAAAGACTCTCTGGACCTTAAACCGAGGTGAAGTGAAACTTTCCCATGTCTCTTCCACTTATTATGCTTTAGTGGTTCATCTTGAGGATCTCATTTATGACTTTCCTTTATGCTATGTGAACATATAAAATATCTAGCGACATTTTATTACATATATATTTCACCATCCATCCTACAAAATTTCTGGGTCTTAAACGGAGCTGCTAATTAATGGATTACGACAGGGCTAAAGTGAATCAATGTTTGGGTGGGAACACTTAGTACTGAGACGATTCCTAACCAAGGAATTAGCACTAATTTCGTGGTTCTGGTCTTTTTCAAATACGTTAATTCTGTGAGAGGTAGAAAGTAGCAAGACTATCATTAAACACTAATAAAACATGTCTTGGTTATATGAAGGCCAGACTATGACTTATCCATTCTCATATTTGAGTTATTACTACACTACCCCACAGGGCTATAAATATAATTTATTGTTTACACTTAGTTCACAGCTCCAATTTAGGGCAATAAAGCAAGAGTAACCAAAGTATTAAAAAAATGCTTTGTTATATCTGTAATCAATAGAATCAAAAGAAAAAAAATTAAGCATTTACATATATAACCCAGATTAATATAAAGTGATCACTGATTACGACTCATCACCAAAATTCACTGACAGTAATCAATCTCAGCTCATAGTAAGTTAACCCCAGAGCCTGTAGAGACTGGAACTGCCACTGTGATTTTCTGAGACTGTAATTTTTATGGGATTACAAAGCTTCACTTTTCTCCTGAGAAGCAGCCTGGTAGTTTTTGAACTGTTAATTAACCTTGTGGGTAACAGCCCATTGGGTGACCCACTACACCTTCCAAGGTCATACATCTTTACAAGAGCTCATCACCTTTTCTTTTTCCTCATTGCTGCCTGTGGAGTTGAACCACCCACTAACTTTGCTTTTAATGGCATCTTTTATATAATCAAGGAGCCCTGGGTGGTCTAGTGGTTATGCTTTGGGCTTCTATCGGCAAGGTCAGCAGTTCAAAACGACAGACCACTCTGCTGGAAAAAGATGAGGGTGCTGGTGAAGAGTCATGAATGTGTCATGTATTGCCAAAACTGACATCTGTTTTGGAAGAAGAGCAGCCAGAACGCTCCTTAGAGGCAACGATGGTGGGCAGATGTCAGGAGACCAGGCTTGGCTAAGTGCAGCAGCAGCAAAAAAGAGGAAGGCCCTTGACCAGATGAACCGGCACAGTGGTTGAAAGAACAATTGTGAGACTGTTAAAGGGCGGAACGGGAGTGTTTCGTTCTGTTACACACAATGTTGCTTTGAGTGTGAGCATCAGACCGCCGGAACCAAACACGCAGTCTTTGCGGGCAGCTCCATCCTGCCCTACCGGGTAGTTATGGGTCGGAACGGACTCGATGGCAGTTTATTTTTTCATAATCAAGGAGCTTTGGTGGAGCTGGTAAGCGCTGAACCACAGATGCAGGCTCAAATCCACCCATGGTTCTTAGGGAGGGAGACGTGCTGCTCCTACTCTGGGGAAGATGCATATGCAGTTTCAGGAAGCCTACAGAGGATTGCTTTGCACAATTGAGCGGGCAGCAGTGGGCTTGATTTCGTCTGCTTTCCAAGCTTTTTATTTATTTATTCTTTTAGGCAAATGGGAAGAAATTTCTTGGAGCCCATACGGGAAACCCTAGAGGGGCCCAGCATACCCTACTGTGTAGGCATGCCCAGCAAAGGGTCACACCATTCACTGTGCCCCCAAGTCCCAGAGGGACTCCCCTTGAGCCCCGAAGTCCCGGAACTGGCTGGGGGTGGGGCCCAAACTTTTTAAATCGTCGGAAAACTTTTTCTGTCCCACACCAAGCAGTAGAAAGGTGCTACTCCAACATTGCTGTAAGGATCTGAGGGTGTCCTACCTCTGAGGAGGAATAAAGGGGAGGCACAAGATTAAAATGAGTCCTATTTCGGCATAAAGGAAGGACGCAACTGCCACCCACTGGAGTGTCATTTTCGCTTTCTCTCTTCACACCTAAATAAAGAAAGAGTTGTTTTACTTCGTGGCTTTTCAAAGAACACTGGGTCAAAGCTCCCAGGCTCCCAATGTTTTTGTCCGGGGGCTTTACCGGGCCCCACCCTCCCCGCCCTGGAGGCACTGCGTGGGAAGGGAAGGGTCAGGGGTGGGCCCGCAGGCCGAGCGACCACCGGCTCGGGGCGCGGGGACTGAGCGCTCCACAGCCGTCGGGCAGCCGCTGCCCAAAGTCTCCCGCCCCGACCGCCCGCGTCTGGGCGCCTTTCCGCACTCCGTGCCCGGGCCGCCACCGTACGCGACGTGGGCTCTCGGCCGAGGTCCCGGGAGCACTCAGCTCCCGGCGGCGCGGAGGGACGCTGCCCGCCAGCCGCGGGGGCCGAGGCGGGGCCTGCGAGCCGGCCGCCTCGTGGTCCCGCCGCCCGCGTTCCAGCAGCCTTACCCCGTCAGCCGCCCGCGCTGCTGCTCCGCCTACGCGCCCGACGTCAGACGCTGCGCCGTGGCGAGGGCGGGGCAAGGGAGGTGGGGCGGGGCAAGGGAGGTCGGGGCGGGGCGCGGGCAGGGCCGTTCCACCCCGCGCCCTGCACGGCTGCGCTCGCCTGGGTGGTACCCCGCGGGTAGGCGGTGGGGCGTTCTCCACCGGTGGTGGAGTCGGAGGAAGCCTCGGACGGTTTCACCGGGCCCTCGGTCCTACCTGGCGCAACTTCTTTGAGAGAGTGATCGTTGCATTTCTCATAAAGTGCGGTTAACCCGCGTCCTCGGACTATTTCCTCGGATGCAGGAGGAGGAATGGTGCAGTGACCCGGGGCAGGATAGCGTGGTGCAAACCCACGGCAGAAACTATCTGGGAAGACGCTGCTAATGAAAAGGGGCAGATTTGGGCGGCGGTGCAGCATTTCTAAGTGCTGAAAAATGTAGGAGAATTCATAGTGTCAGGACGCTTTTAAGTTTTTTGGTTTTACCCCAGGACTGGGATGAGGTCAGTGAACTCTAGGGTGCTGTTTTGGGGACCAGAATGGAAAGCAACATAGGAGTTATTCTTTTGAGTGAGTATCTTCCAGGTCTTCCAATTGTGCAATTACATAGAAATTATTAAAGATACCCCGCCTCCGGCCCCCCACCCACCCCCCACCCCCGGTATTGATAATATTACAGCAGGGTAAGTGGAAGTACTATCCTGGAGACATTACATGTTGAAATACACGAATTAAAGAACACGAAGCACATTTAAACATGCTTTCTTGTTCACACATTTTATCACAAATCTATTCGTTTACATATATAAGGGAAAAAAGAACCCTAACCATAATCATACATTAGAAACAAAAAATCAAGCACATCAGAACTTGTCTTTCCATCCTAGTTCCTTCAAAACACCTTGTACCCGGAAGGGATGATGTATATCCAGGGTGTCGGATAGCACTGATGATATACATAACTATCTTCTAGTTCTTTAATATTTCCTCCCCTTACTATTATGGTCTTGGTTTTACCTCATTAATCTTGTTAGACCTGCATATGTTCATTTGTATAATTAAGATCGTTTGATGTATAAAAACCAAGCTAGATAACTGTCAGAAACAGTAAAGGGAGTAAAGATTTCCTGAGTGCAGGAAGGTGGGGGCGTAGGGGAGCGGGTAGCAATGACTGTATAACCCCACTGGAGTGGCATGAATAACAGAATGGTAGATGAACGGATCCATTAGATGGCGTAAGATACAGCTAAAATAAATAAATGAATATATATATAGATATATAATAGCATTTAATATACAATAGGTGTTCCTGGGGGTACGATGAGGGAGGGAGGGGAGTAAGGGGAGCTGATATCAAGGAGCTCAAGAAGAAAATGAGTTGAAGCTGATGGTAGCAGCAATTGTACAATTATGCTTGATCTAGTTGAATTATGGATTATATCTGTAAGCGCTCCCAATAAAATGATTAATGAAAACAAACAAAAACCATCAGGCACCTTCCTCTAATAATGCTGCTTGCTCCCAACTTTAGTACAATTAAACTTGAGTTGCTTTACATGTATAAACATGACTAAGCTTTGACTATGGGTGGGAAACATGACCATAGTCAAATGAAAAAGGCAGTTTATTCTTAAAATGCATCAATTGATAAGTGAAAACCCTTTAAAAGACTATGGCAGTACCATGCTTACGTTAAGGATTGACTCATTTAAATCTTCAATTGGGAGAGTTAGGAAGTAAGCAAACAACAGGGTCAGCAAAAAACAAGGGCTTGCTGACTTTGGAGTTCAAAATTAAGCCAGGGGTCGGGTGCTTGCCCGATTTAAGGATTAAAATTACCCTCGGCCATCGACATTTTCCTTCCAGACATCCTGTCACTTTCAGCGCTTCCCATTTGAGGACCCTCCCGCCCTTTCTCACTGTATCTACACGAGCTTTCTCTCCTATCCCAGTACCATCTCCTGTCTCTCATTAATTATAACTCAATTTTTAAAATTCTACTAGTAATATTTCCAAATTATGAAACTTAAAAATGAAAATTATCAATTGCTGGGAAGCATTAAAAGAACATCAGTAAAAACGGGATATGAAAATTAAAATTTTAATTAAAAATAAAACCTGGTTGTTACATTCTCCAGAAAAAATTATTTCAAGTATATAACCATCTCCTAGTTACCAAACTTTCTTAAACTGTGAAATTGCCATCGACTTTAGCTTTTTATAGACATATATGGATGTTTCAAGCTCTCTTTTAAAAATCTAGAAAGTCAAAAATACATTTTAAAAAAGATAAAAATTAACCAAGCAGCCATCTAAGTGAGATGTCAATTAAGTCCACATGGAGGAAACACACACACATCAGTGACTGAAGGACTGTAAATCATACAATCTGAAGCCAAAGAAGGGAATAGTATCAGAGCCTAAACTGTGAGATTCCGGTTTGCAGAAGACTATGGATGACAGTGGGAGCCCAAGATACATTTGTGTGATTTATATAGGAAATAAGCCTCCAGTGAGTTCCCTCTATCCTTAATAGACGAATGGGAAGAAAACAGTTACCAAGCAATGCACTGGAGAGATAACTATAGATCAAAATGATAAACCTGACTTGAACAGTTAAAACCTTCTCAGTTGATCCCCCTCTGATGCACATTGGAGCTGATCTGGTTTTTAACATTTTGTTTTACATAATGGGGTTTATCTCAGATGTGCTTTGTTATTAGGGGTAATCCCCTTGAATTTTTATTAGGTTTTTCTGTTCTTCAGTCTATGAAACCCAGGAGTGATGAACCTATAGACACAGCATGTAGAATAAGGGTTCCTGGGGGAGTAGTGTGGGGGCAGAGGGGTCAAGGGGAACTGATATCAAGGAGTTTAAGAAGGAAGGGAATGTTTTGAAACTGATTGTGGTAGCAATTGTACAATAATGCTTGATGTGATTGAACTATGTGTGGGAAACAGAGAGGATTTCTCCCAAGTTGTCTCCCCCAAATACATGCCAGACTTAGCTGCTTGAGAATGACTGTACACTTGGAGGTCATCAGGAGTGAATTGGGGGTCATTTTCCCTGAGAATTATCAGCTGTCTAGAGCAAGCAGACACCACTGTTTATCCCACAAGTAGGGCCCACTTGCTTCTGATAATGATAGTAGTTGTCTGTTTCCTTGTAGGAGACATGAGAGAGGTCAAACCCGCCCACCGATGACCAAGGTTAGGCTGCCATCATGAATCTAAGGTCCGCCCATCTTGTCACATGTATACCCCTAGAGCTTCCCATTCCTATAGGTATACCCCTAGCTCACCCCTTCCTGTCATGCTTATGCCTATCATAGATCCCCTTCCTACAATGCGTATGCCTATTGTACTGCCCCTTCCTGTGACGTGTGGTTACCTGTAATCATGTCCCCCTAAAGATATATAACACTTGGTTAGCAATAAAGAAGAGGCTCTCTCCGGCTCTCGGGGGCCTGGAGGCTCCCCGGTTCTCAGGTTCCCAGGCTGCTCCTGCTCTCTTGGCCGGGTTCCCCCCACGAGGACCACCAAGCAGGGCTGAGGTGAGCAATGCTACCATGAATTGTGTCTGACTCCATTACTTGACTCTATCTTCTACCTCTCATGCTCTCTATGACTTTACTATAATCTTTACTTATTATTGCTCTACAATTGCGCCTGTGATGATTTGTGGGGGACCCTCTCTCCCCTTCACCCCACAACTATGGAATGATATGCTATCTGTACTACTCCCAATAAAGTGATTTTGGAGAAAAGATAAAAATTAAATTAAAAGATAAACACATTTAAAAAAATTGGAATATAAAAAGCCACCACATGTTTCTAAGATATCATTTTAAGATTCATGGAATCTTCATTTTAAATGAGAGAAAACATGGTTACTTACATATAATCGAAAAAGTTGTAAGTTTACAATTAGGTAATACTAGTTTGATTTTCCACTTTGAATTTTTAATCTAAACCTGATTGTCATTCTGTAGTATTTCAATTCCATTTCATTCTATGTGGATGTTGGCATTTATTCTGCCTCTTCTTTGTATTTATTTTCATTAAAAACACACTTTGTCTTGAAGGTAAACAAGCGGCCATCTAGCTCAGAAGCAACAAAGCCCACATGGAAGAAGCACACCAGCCTGTGCGATCACGAGGTGCCGAAGGGACCAGTTATCAGACTTCAAAGAACAAAGAAATCATATCATTGTGTGCTCACCTCCCTGATATGACCGCTGAAGACAAATGGGTACATAGGCAAGTGTGGTGAAGAAAGCTGATGGTGCCCGCTAACAAAAATAGTATATGGAGTCTTAAAAGCTTGAAGGTAAGCAAGCGGCCATCTAACTCAGAAGCAACAAAGCCCACATGGAAGAAGCACACCAGCCTGTGTGATCACGAGGTGTTGAAGGGATCAGGTATCAGGCATCATCAGAACAAAAAACCAAAGCCCATTTGTAGGCAACTGGACACCCCCTTTACACAAGGGTGGCGGGGAGGAGACGAGCCAGTCAGGGTGCAGTGTACCAACAATGAAACATACAACTTTCATCTAGTCCTAAAGGCTTCCTCCCCCTCCACTCCCCTCCCACTATCATGATCCCAATTCTACCTTAAAAATCTGGCTAGACCAGAGGATGTGCACTGGTACAGATAGAAACGGAAACACAGGGAATCCAGGGCGGATGATCCATTCAGGACCAATGGTGAGAGTGGCGCGATACCGGGAGGGTGGAGGGAGAGTGGGGTGGAAAGGGGGAACCGATTACACGGATCTACATATAACCTCCTGCCTGGGGGCACAGACAACAGAAAAGTGGGTGAAGGGACACATAGTACAGTGTAATATATGACAAAATAATAATTTATAAATTATCAAGGGCTCATGAGGGAGGAGGGAGTGGGGAAGGAGGGGGAAAAATGAGGAGCTGATGCCAGGGGCTTAAGTGGAGAGCAAATGTTTTGAGAATGATGTGGGCAATGAATGTACAAATGTGCTTTACACAACTGATGTATGTATAGATTGTTAAGAGTTGTATGAGCCCCTAATCAAATGATTAAAAAAAATTAAAAACAACACAATTCATGTTATAGATAACATGTCATATTTTCTCAGTAAGACAAGATTTTATTTAAAAGTTAAAAATTATTCCTTAATGAAAATTCCAATTTTTCCTTCTATCTATAAAAGGATTCAAGGAGCCCTGGTGGCATATTGTATTGTCAGGCTGCTTATCCCTAAGTTCTCAGTTCAAACTCACCAGCTGCTTCAAAGGATAAAGATGAGGCTGTTGGTTTCTTGTAAAGTCTATGGAGTAGTTTTACTCTGTCCTATAGCACAAGTAACTGAGAATCTGTTAATTCCATGGCAATGTTTTTGTGCCCCCTCTCCCCCCTCGAGGGGGAGGGTGGTGATTAACAGGATTCAGAGCAGTTTGTCAAATGCCTGGGTCTCCCCTCTCCAAGATCTACTTGAGGATGGGAGTCCGGTCTGATTTATTTTTCTTTGTAGTTTGGGTGAAAGTTTAAAGAGAAAGTAAATTTGCCATTCAACAATTTATGGGCATTTTGCTTTGTGACATTGGTTGCAATCCCCTTAACAGCACGATTCCCATTTCCTCCCTGGGTTTTGTTTCCATCTGTCCTTCTTCTCTCCTGCCTTCTGGGTTTTGTTTCTGGGCAAATGCTGCCCCCCACCACCACCACTTTTTATTTATTTTTTGTTTGTGTAGATGAGTGCAACCTCCACACTGGGTTTTTATGCTCTTTATTGGCCTATTGTTCGACCTAAAGTTGATCCCTGGGGATAATTCAGTTCTAGGCTTGCAGAGTGCCTCAGGGACACAGCCCTTTTTCCTCCCTTTCAGTTCAGGACTTTCTATTGCAATTGTGATTCCAGTGGTTGTTGTTGGTAGCTGTCCTAGGCACCATCTAGTTCTTCTGGTTTCTGAGTATTAGAGGCTGTGGCTAACTTGGCCCCACTAGTCCTTTGGACTAATTGTGTTCTTGTGTCTTTGATTTTGCTTTCTCTATTTTGCTCCAAACAAGGAAAACAACAGTGGAATCTTAGATGGCTGCTGGCAAGCTCTTAAGGTCTCTGAGGATACTCACTGCAGTAGGATGTAGATCATTGTCTCCGTGGGCAGAGATGTCTTTTGGGGCTGTGGTGTAAGAATTATTTATAAAAATGTTCCCCAGGGGATTGTTTTTATACTAAAGTTTGAGAGTCACTGATTTAAAGTACAAACTAAGATGATAGGGTGTCATTGTAAATATGAAAATGAAGCATTTATTAAAGTCATCGAGAAAGTCTGGTCACGTACCATAATGGTCGGTGAGGTAATCTAACACTGCTGATGTACTGCACAAAGCATTGAATATTCTTTTTTCCTGCCTTGAGGTAATCTTTTCCATCATGTACATTAAGTGCTGATGGAAACACATATAAGGAGTTCCGAGTTCAAGAGCAATGTCAATCCAATCCCAGATGCATTTCAGTGGAGTTTCCTCATATCCAGCAAACAGTGCCGGGTTTGCTAGGAGTCCTCTTGCAACCATCACACCTACAAATTAAAGCACACTGTGTTCATACAGTAAGGGCCTCTGGCTATGATGTCAAACTCCATCCACGACACAAACAGGATATACAAATGTACACACACATATACACAAAGAGATACATTAACACTCGTATAAGGTTTTACAATACCCTTATTCCATTAGTCTGTTTAACTCAATTATGCTGCTGTTGTTCATCTCCTTCTGCTGAATAGGACTCATGGTGGCCCTTGTGTGCAGAGCAGAACGGCCTCATAGGATTTTCAATGACAACCAATGGTCCTACTTTTTGTAAACCATGGAAGTTTAAATGGACTTACAGGATTTCCTTCTTTAAACACTTCTACATTAAACAATTAGTTACTGTTTAGTACACTGGATTTGCTTGAAGTTAAGGTTATCTATGTTCTGTGTTCTCCCATCTGTTGATATCTATCAAGGGCTTTGCATGCTA